AGTGGTGGAGTGGGATTGGAGTTTTGGTGGAGAGTTAGGGGGCCAGGCCAGGCTGTGTAGGTGTGGGACTCTGGTCTGGTAAGACGGTGTTGATGGGAGTCAGGGTGCACAGCGGGTTAGAGCTGAGGGGTCAGCTGGCTGCTTCCGGGTGAGGCCGGACCTGCCCCGGGAGCGCTGAGCCAGCCTGGAGAGGGGCCGGGGCAGCATGTGTGTGAGTAGCACATGCTGGGCTGCCTTGGGCCGATCACGGCCCTTCTCTGGGCCCTGGTTTCAGTCAGAAAGGAGTGCTGCCTCCCCCAGTTCTGGTGTGCAGGATGAGGGTCAGCTGAGTATCCGTTCCCAGCCCCCTTGCTCTAGGATGCCCTCCGGAGACCCACTCAAGGCTGTTCCCAGGGTTTAGGCCTGGAGCCCCTGTCTGGGTCTCTGTCTCTGTGCTCCTAGCTGTGGCCCAACAGTGTTGGGAGAGCCTGGGGAAGCTTGTCGGGGTTAGGTGAGCACCGGGCAGCTCAGGGCCCACATCTGGACCTCAGCCCCAGACCTTTGTCCATCATTTCCTACTCACCTGAGTCCTGGGCAGCCCATTACCTCCAGAAAGCCTCTCATGGCGTGCTGGGTCAGGCTGGTGTCCGCCCCTGTCCTCACTGCTGTCCTTGCCACCGTCCTCTGCCAATGCCAGTTAATGAAGCACGCGCACATTCACCGTCTGGGTCCTCCCTCCCTGGCGTGGGTCAACAGCCCCATTTTCTGGCCGAGGTAGCTGAGGCCCAGTGGGGTGAGGGGATTGCCTGCATAGATCGGTGCTGGGGCTGGGCCCCCCCGTTTGCTGCGTGCTGTGCTCTTGTGCCACCTCTCCCCCTGGCCTGGCCTGGAGAGGAGGGGGCGAGGACTGGTGCGAGAAAGGGTCCGGGAGGACTTCATTACCCAGTGCCTGCTTTTGGCAGGGGTGGGGTGGGGGGGGGGGGGGGGTGCTGAGCCCGCCGCCGGCGGGGAGACATGCTTGGCCTGCCTGGGTAATTACATCTCAACATTTCATTTTGCTTGTCAGTTTCCACTTCCTGGGGATGTGGGCTCCTAAATATTTCATCCCGGCCTGCAGCTGCCTGTTCCTCCCTGGCCAAACCACAGGCCCAGCAGCCGGCCCCCAACCCCGGCCCCTCCCTGCCCAACTGAGCTTTGTCAGTTCCTGCTATGGGGTAGAGCTGGCCAGAGGTCAGATTCTTCATGCCCCTGCCCCATGCAGGGTCCCCGCCACCAGCCCATCACTGGCCCCTCTCCTCAAGGGGTCACGGGTGAAGAGGCCAGGCAGACCACACTGCTGGCAGTTAGGGTCAGTTCAGCCGATGTTGATTAGCACCTACTGTGTGCCTGGCACTCCGCTGGAAACTGGGGAGTTAGAAACGAGAAAGACACGGTCTTCGCATAAATGGGCTTATGGACCGATGGAGGAAGCCGACAATCACATTATAATAGCAAACGCTTACTGAGTGCTTCTGTGCCAGGCCGTGCACAGAGCGCCTTATGTGTATATTAACTTCAGGCCCAGAGAGGGAAGTAACGTGTCCAAAGTCACCCCGCTAAGAAGTGGCTGGGAGCCCTCACGCCTCAAAGCACGAGAGCTACAAAATGGGTCACAGCACAGGCAGAGGATGGCACGTGCCTGTGGAGAGGGTGTAAGGAGAGCCCAAGTAGACAGTGATGAGTTCCGGCTGGGGCAGAGATCTGGGATGTTTCCAAGGGGAAGAGGAGGAGAACATGAGCCCCTGTGGGGTGTTGGGCGGATAAAGAGCAGGAAGGGTATTTCTGGCAAAGGGACCAGCAGAGGCTGAGGGTGGGAAAGGCTGAGTTGAGTTGGAGAAAGAGGTCCTCTTGTGGTAGAGTGTGGAGTTTGAGGCTGAGGAAGCGGGTGTCAAGGGACACGGGGGTCCTGTTGTGTGAGGGGCCCCTCAGCAGAGGACTCTGAGCTCACACTCAGCGATCCTGTGTCCGGCTGCCCCCTGACTCGCTGTGTGAGCCTTGGGCAGACTCTTCCCTACTCTGAGCCAAATCTGAGAAATGGGTGGGGATTCCCTCAATCAAAGGATGCCGGCATGGCCA